AAATGTGGGCTAAAACGCCAACCCACTCTCAGGTGGACATGTGCGCGTATGTGCCTGTGAGCGCGCTGGTTACTGTCCGCCAGCAGTGGGCACATGCATCACGTAAGCTGAAACCCAAGCTGCCCCACATGTGTTCGGCTCAATCTGTCATCTAACGCACCAGCCAAAACAGGCCAGTTTTATAGGCCACCGTGACCATCCGCTGGTCCTCATTTGGGTCAGGCTCACTCTGCCATGAATTCTCAACCCATCATGCTCTTAACTGTGGTTCTCTGCTGACGAGGGCAGCGATGGGTCGTGTACGTTTTACCCCAGTGGCAGGCAGCCAACACGCTCCACATAATGCTTATCAGAATGAGGAGGATGTTAGCTGACAAATATCAACTCCTCGCTGCTTTTAATGCGAACGCAAACGCTCCACCAATAAACTTTACATCAAGACGTCGCGGGCGACCCCGAAGCAGAGCCAAGACCTCCATACGAGAGGGGATAATTACACAGAGGGCTGCTGCTGGCTCATCTTCACCCCTGCTGACTGCTTTATTAAACAGATTCATCATTCCATTTGGTTTGGGAGGCCGTTATGGCTGAGAGGCGAACGATTGCCTTGCAGGAGTGCTGGGTTGATGAAATAACAACTGCCGCTGTGTCGTTTCATGCTCTCGCACGAGGGGCTTTTCCAGGAGCTATCAAGAATACGTGGGTGATTAGCCTGGAATCGAGAACAGACTTTAAAAACACCACAAAAGAACACTGGCTTCTCAAGCATAGAGGAATACAACAGAGAGACGTGATCTGCAATGAATAATACAAGTACGAATAATCAAAACACTTTTATCTCATATATATGTATACACACACACACACACACACAATATTTTCATAACATTTTGTAAAATTAAACATTTTTATATTTAATTATTTTTCATTAATGCTTAAATAATTAAATATAAAATATTTATAATTATTAAATCTGTAAACATATTGTATTATAATGTTATTATACAAATAATATATTATGTATACACACACACATATATATATATATATATATATATATATATATTATATTATATAAATATATTATATATAAAACATTATATATGTGTATATAAAATTATTATAATATTATAAAAAATAATCTATATCTATTAACTATATTTATATACTATAAATAATATATAACTAATCTATGCTCAGTGATACTCAGTGATGAACTACAATGCATTCACTAGAGTGTAAGTTTATTAATCAAAACTGTGAAGGGAATATGCTCAAAAACACCCATCAGAGAATATTGCATGTTGCTCATTGATGCCACATGTGCCGCTATGAATGAGATCCAAAAGCTAATTGGAGGAGAAGTAAAATTTTACACAAAGCTATCGAATAGTTTCATTGAGGCTTGGAATAAAGCACACAGACCACTTTCATAAATCATTTAGTTGTTAACAGTCATTTTTGGAAAAACAAACTCAAAAAGTAACTATTGGTGTGGATCGCCATGAGGGTGAGTAAATAATGACCGAATGTCCCTTTTTGGATGAACTTTCCCTTCGACTCTGGTTCTAGCAGCACAGATGCTAACAAACACAGTTTTCTCAGCTCTCTCTCTCTCTCTACTTGAGTCTCTCTGATACTCTTTGTCTTTCAGGTTTTCCCCTCCGGCCACCTAACCTCTCTCTTTAAAGCTTTTCTGGGAGAGGTGCTAGGCTGGAAAAAAAATCAATGTGCTTTAAAGGAGCCTGAAAGCTCTTCTAAAGAATATTAGACAGAGGAAAGAAAGATGGGACATCTTTAGAAGCCGAGAGCATCAGCAACACCGCATCTTTCCTCTCCTCTTGTTCCCTTTAAATAGAACAACGATCGGCCTGACAATATCTTCACACTCTAACAGGCGTCTTGTTCCGCTTAAGCATTCAATCTTTTCCCTCACGACCACCTCCGAGGGTGTGACAAGACAAACGGAGGAGGCATTTCTGCAGATTAGGCTTTCATTACAGAGACTGAAAGAGCAGAGGTTCACGAATTACGTGAGCGATGGCGATGATGGCTTGTTATTGTTCAGGCTTGTTTGGAGATGAGTTGGTGATAAAACAAGGAGCAGAGGAACTAAATAGCAGCTGTCGAAATCTCCCAAACTGGGTTAATTGCTCTGGGATGGGGAGAGAACATGGATATCATTAAAAAGACTTTCCCTTTCGTAATGACTTCCTCACCATACCTGCCCAACGCCCAGAGGGAATGACGTTTCCTTTGTTTCGTATGCTGTTTGGTGGGAAATCATGATATCTGATGAAAGAACTCATCTGAGAGAAACATTCGTCCGTCCGCGTTTGAGGCAAAACGCCAATCATGTGGGGTGATATCAAGAGTCGTAGCAATAAGACTTTGCCGTATCCCTTGATTGGGAAGTGGCAGGCACCTCTGGTAACGTCTTCTGCACTTTTACATGATGGAAAGTGTCAGGATCAGTAGATAAAAACTGCAGTAGGTTCTTGTAGCTCGACTGGAAGATCAGTGCTTAAAAACACCAACATTGTGGGCTTGACTCCAAGTGAGCACATATACTACTGTTTATAATGTTGCAAAGATTTCTATTTCTAATAAATGCTGTTCTTTTGAGCTTTCTATTCATTAAAGAATTCTGAAAAAAAAGATCATGGTTTCCACAATAATATTAAGCAGCACAACTATTTTCAACATTGATAATAGGAAATGTTTCTTGAGCAGCTAATCAGAATGATTTCTGAAGAATCATGTGACACTGAAGATTGGAGTAATGATGCTGAAAATTCAGCATTGCATCACAGGAATAAATTACATTTTAAAATATACTCAAATAGTAAACATATAAATCTGTATATAACAGATATTTAAATAGAGATTTAAATATATAAAAATATAAATTGTAATAAGATTTCACAAATATTACCTGTTTTTATTGTCAGATCCTCATTCAAAACTTTAGTATTAAGATGTGGATTTGGGATGGGTTTGATAATGAATTAAACAATTCTGATTCTACTTTTGCTTCCTTAAATCATGCTTCCTTACACTCAAACAAAGATATTTTGAACAAAGTCTCATTGTTTTTTTTGTCCATACAATGAAAGTCAATAGAGTTTAAAACAACATGGGACCCCAATGACTTTCATTGTATTTATTAAAAAAACAACAACAACACTGAGACATTGTTCAAAATATCTTTTGTGTTTAGCAGCAGTGTTAGTTTAGTAATTAGTAAAAAAGTAGTTATTTTTAATAATAAGTAGTTATTTTGATTAACTCTTTCCCCGCCAGCATTTTTGAAAAAAGTTGCCAGCCACCGCCAGCGATTTTGATGATTTTCACTAAAATTTGATGGCCTCCAGAATATTTTGCTGTATGAATATTTGAATATGCAATACACCAAAATAAAGATCAGAGCCTCTACTTTTAAACAAAAAAATAGAGATCGCTCGTTTCTCCGTCCTGTACACATGTGTTTTTGTTCGGGAGGTTTTGTACTCGTTCAGAAGATGTGTAATAGCGCCCCCGAGTGTATAACATTGAAAACACGAAAAGCCGTAAAAACTCATCTTTGGCGGGGGAAGCGTTGTCTTCTAAAAGACGATATAACTCGTCAATGGCGGGAAAAGAGTTAATATTTTGAATCTGTTTTTATTTTTATATTTTCTGTTTCCATTTTAATTTTAGTTAGTTTTTTGTTGTATTTTATAATTTTTGTTTTTTAGTACATCAAGTTAAACTAAATTAAAATGAAAATGTCACCGTATATATATATATACATATACACACATACAGTACATACATATATACATACATACACAACTCTCAGAGGGATTGGCATGGTAATGTACATGACAATGTTAATGTATTTGGTCTTGGCGGAATAGATCTGCTACGCTGCTGCTGTGGCAGAGCAAGTACAGAGACTTGCTACTGCCAATACATCCACAACATGCTGCTGTGAGCATGTAAGAAATATTGCTGCTGCAAATATAACATACATGAAATAACCCCCATATAGCATTCATGAATCACCTCGTAGCAGATCTATACAGGTGGAGCTGGGGAAGGTGGAGGCTTTCCGAAGCAAGCAGCAACTGCTACGGCAAGCACTTGTCATATATTTGAATGTTGAGCAGCGAGCTCATTGGCTACCGATCCATACAAATATTTCCTAAAAACACCCCGTAAAAACAGTGATGCGGTCAGGACCGTGGCGCCAGCTTCCTTTGAAATATGTTTGATGATTGCGCCTGCGCCCTCGCCCGCTCCGTCAGTCAAGAACCAACATAAATGTATTGCAGATATCGTTAAAGTTCAATAATGTTATGTACACATTTTAGAATTGGTCTGATTCAAAGGAGAATCAGAAGGCTGAATTCTGACTGACAGAGGAGGAGTTGGGGATGGAGGAGGGTAATTAGCTATTGAGCAATGCGAAAACTGCTGATACTACTGCGGGACCTTATATATGAATACTTAGATAGGTGTCGTATTCCCATAGGTTGATGGGGATCAGCTGAGAGTCAGCTGATGCGAGCTTGACTAACGTGACCTGCCAGAACTAACGCTACGCTAGAGATAGAGCTACATACATATATATATAGCTGAAATAATTAGTAAAAAATATCTTATTTTATTTCAAGTAACAATTTTTTTTAAATGGTTTTCATTTTAGAATTAGTTAACTATAATAACCATAGTTTTGCATAGCGAGCGTGAGAAAATGACGACAGTATTGTCATTATGGAACTGTCTTGCGATCTGTTCCATTAAGTAAGTGAAGCAGCTCAACATTAACCCAATGAAACTTTCATACCCGTTTAAGCATCGTATGCCGATGTCAGGAATGACTAATCTGGTTTTCTTCTAGTTGTCTGTATTTCAATTTGTCAGCGCAGAGTTTTCTAATCTCTGATGTCAGTTGTTATCCTCACTGTGGAGGTGTATCCTGATAAGGGACAGATGGACAGATGCAAGACTCTTACCAGGCTTGAGACTTCCTCCTGGGCACGTTCTGTCTGCTCCACTTGGAGTGAGGGGTCAGGTGATAGATCAGCTGCCTGCAGATCTTCTCAGAGGACTTGAGAGCATCAGTCTCCTGAAAAAGCCAGAATGAGGAGAAGCGGGTGATGAAGAGCTATTCTGGGAGACGGGCTGCCAAATAAATCACCAATCTGAGGGCTTATGGTCACTGACAGAGAACCTAAAAAACTTGAATGTTTACCATGTCTAGTGCTATTACATGGGTTGCAGAGAAGTAAACTGTTCAGGTTAATCTGTCAGTGATTATGATTAGTGTCATTAAATAAGCAATAAGCCACAAGAGCCTAAAACCTTTGTTAACATGATAAATTCACTGTTATGTGGCAACAACATGGTAGCAGTTTATTGCTTGTATAAAATGGTATGATAGAAGACACTGCTATTTAACTATTAAGTTTTCAAGAATAATCATTATAAAGTTTCAGTATCAAGTTTGGGGTTGGTAAGATTTTTTAATGTTTTTAAAAGAAGTCTCTTATGCTCACCAAGGCTGCATTTATATGGTCAAAAATGCAGTAAGAACAGTAATATTGTGAAATATTATTACAAATTAAAATAACCTTTTTCAATTGGGATATTATTTAAAATGTAATGTATTCCTGTGATGCAAAGCTGAATTTTCAGCATCATTACTCCAGCATTTAGTGTCACAAGATCCTTCAGAAATCATTCTAATATGCTGATTTTGAGTTATTATTATCATTGTTTAACATAGTTGTACTGCTTAATATTTTTGTGTTTTTTTATTCTTTGATAATTTCTTTAACAGAACATCATTCATTTGAAATATAAATCTTTTGTTACATTATAAATGTCTTTACTGTCACTTTTGATCAATTTAATGAATCCTAGCTTAAAACAGTATTGATTAATTTCTTTGAAAAGGAAATCCCATTGAAAAAAAAATCTAAAATGAAATGTATGGAGACATTAAATTAATATTTGATGGGGAAATGTACTTAATTGTTATGAAAATAATGTCATATTGTTAAAATAATCTTAATGGTCCTAACAAACTTTAGATTCAAAAGCAGCAATTAGTGCTTCAAAGAGTGGTACTCTTCCTTAGCATATAACTTGAGATGAAGATGAGAGTTCAGTTAAAATGTCTTAGTTATTCATGTCATGTTGAACTACTGGGTGAGAGGTTGGTTTAAAACAATATCAAGACCTTCGGTCAACCATGCTTGCAGCCATTTCTGCATCAAAACAGGCGTTGGCTCGCCTCTCTCTCTTTAAACGGACTGGCCAGAGCAGAGCTGAGTAAATCTAATCATTGCTGAAGCACAACAACGTGAGTGAGGCAGGTAAACACAAAAGACTGGGCAAAGCCATTGACTGGAGTCGACTTGCTCGTACTATCAATCTAAGAAATGACAGGAAATAAACATGTACATCTTAGTGGCCCCCTGAAGGCTATTAATTTAAAACAAAGATGTTTGTTGAATCTTTAATGTATAGTAAGTTGGTTTCTGGTAGCAGTGAGTGACAGCAATTATCGGACTACTTTTATTGAACTCCCTTAATAAAGACGGCGTACATTCGATGACGTGCACTCCAGAGGGAGTTTTACTGTCGGAAGGATTTACGTGGACTTTCAATCAGGGACTGAACATTAAGACATTAGCCATAGCTCAATGCGCAACTGCCACAGTTTAATGAAAAACTGTCAATTGTAAGACAGTTAAATGAAAAACAAAATCTATGTGCTACGCACAAACAAAAGCTCATTAAAATGCCTTTCCATATTTCCCATGATTCCCATCATGAATAACTGCTGCGATTGAGGATCCCCACCAGCTGACTCCTGGGACTCAAAACTTCATTAGTTGCTGGTAAAACAGACATTGGTATATATTATTTTGATGAGTTTTCAATCAGTGAATTGTTTCTTTTTGATCCAGTTAATTTACACAAACTTTCTAAATGAACTGATTCATTAAAATGAATCAAACTTTCTGACGCTACATATGAGTTCACAATTTAGTTTAGGGACCAATTCTCACTATTAACTATTAACTACGACTTTTGCCTCAATAAATTCCTAATTTGCTGCTTATTAATAGTTAATAAGGTATGTAGTTGTATGGGTAGGATTAAAGAATCTAAAATATGGTCATGCAGAATAAGGCATTAATGCAGCCAACATGCTAGTAATATGCATGCTAATAATCAATTAGTTAATAGTAAGAATTGGTCACTAAACTAAAGTGTTAGAGAGTGTAGTGAGTTCTCAAACACTCAGTCATTTCTTTTTGATCCAGTTCATGTTACTCAAACTGTCTGAATAAATTGATTCATTAAATGAATCAGACTTTCTGCAGCTACATAAACAGCTACATAGTGAGTTTTCAATCAGTGAATCATTTCTTTTTAATCCGGTTCACGTACCCAAACGGATTAACTCAAATTAATCCAACTCTACATAAAAGTTAGTATCCCTCAATACTGATTATATAAGTATAACAAAGCGGTTTGGCTTATGGGCAAGACATCTGAATGGCATGAATCCATTTCTTTTAGAAGCAAGGTGGCTTTTCTGAGCTCAGTGGGATGGGATTTGCTCTACCTGTCAGCAGGTAACTGGATGTTTATTAAGTCAGAGAGGAAGAAAAGAAGCAGAGAAAATTGAGAGCCCTTCAATCCCTCGCTCTCGTTTTCTGGGTTTACATGATTAGCTCCTCAAGGCTTCTGCTGTTGAAGGAGGCTAGCAAGCATTTTTACAGCCGCCTGCGAGAGTCCAGTTGGGAATAAGAGAAAACTTCACCACAGATCCAGTCTGAATACTCTTTTTGCAATGTTAAAAGCTCCCTCTAATCCCACTGTCCGGCTCAGATCTGATCCAAAACTTTTTCCACAGCAAATGCAAAGCTACAGTGCAAATGCTAATTTTTGGTTATGGTGCTTGTGTAACTGAATGTTTTTCTTGGATTGTATTACATTAAATGGATAAAATAAGAAGCAGAGGCAGAACAGTCTATCTATCTATCTATCTAGCAGCTAGCTAGCTAGCTAATGTCATATCGTTCTATCATTCCTTCTGTCCATAATGCCTGTAAACTTTCTAAAGGCATTTTAAGTCTTTTTTCAAACCTTTTAAACAAAGATTTGTCAGTCCAACGTTTAAAGTTTGTCTTGCTTTTCAAATTACAGTTAAATGATTTTCAATTTTAATTTACATCCATTCCAATTTGAACTGCAATTCTGCATCGTTTGCTACCTCATTTCAAATGAAATACAAATTAAGTAATTGAACTGGAATTTGAAATGGGAATTTTGATTCTAAGTCAATGAGTTGCATCCTAATTCAGTCTATTACAATTGTTTATGCTCATGATGTGCTCCTGTTCTTACTTTAGCGAGCTTCACATTGATTTACTGTCAAAATGGGCCATTGCAATACGTGACGGAATCGAAAGGCAATGTCAGAGCCAGCCATTTAGTCGGTGACCTCGCTTTCATTCTTAATCAGGGAGAGGAGTTAGGTTACGTTAGGCTACCCAAAATGTCAGCTATAGTGGGAATCTTCCTTTATCAGACATGCAAACTGACTGACAAAAAGTTTGCCCTGCACTAATTTTTATATGAGAAATATGCAATCCAGGTACACTGGATAAATGTGACTGTGGCTGAAAAAATTACATTATGTTGTTTCTTTCATGTTTCATGTTTTGGAAAACTTTCAAAGTGAAATGTCCAGTTAATAGCGCTGAAAGTACATTTGGTTTTATCCAAAATGTGAATCTGTTTTAATTTGTAAGTTGTTATACATATCACACTAGTTGGGATATGAAAAGTCCGGTGAGATGCGCTACAAAATTAATGCTCTGTCAGGTTTGAAAATAACACACCACCAACACTAAACCCTAGCTTAAACCCAACCAATAGTGTTAAAAAAGCAAACATGAGATAAAAATGCATTTGATGAATTAACATGTCATTTTAACTTGCTTCCACAAGCTCTTTTTCACACTGACGTTTTACAACACAAATACAGTGCTGTACCAGGTGAGCTACTGAGCAGGTTTACTGTGTCAGAAAAGCCACACATATGGAGCTGGTTATGTGATATAACTGTCAAAACGTTTTCGTTTAAAAATCATGCACTATGGTAAAAGTGTTTTGAGGTCATAACATAGTATTGTGCAAGGAACTGCACAAAAGTAAGATGCTATTAAGCAATAATCTGCACCTGTTATAATAATTTGTGTGAAAAGGAATAAAAGTTGTTGGTGTTTTACTGCAACTAGTGTTCATTTCAGCTGGAAACTGCAGTCAGTTGTATGTATAGGTATGTTTTTGGAGTTTTGCGCATTTTTCTAAAGAATCTATGTTGGAAACATGACACGTTGATTCAATTTGTTATTCAAAAAAAGTCTTGAAAGAAAAGGACAAGCCATGCCCGTTCAAGTGGATCTATTATTGGAAAGTGCTCCTCTTGCTGCCCTTTCTGTCCAATTAAGTCCAAACAGAACTGTGGAATTTCAGCATGGAATGAAAACATCACTGATGGCTCTCTTGAGCAAAATAAAGGTCAGTGTCATCTTTCTGTACTTCTGACGTTTTGCAAACTAATTTAGGACGGGACTGAAGCATGAGCGCCCAAACTCCAGTCCTGGCCATGGGATGACAGCTGCCTGTGGTCTTATACAGGCGGCGGAGCTGTAGAATTGTCCAGCTAAGCCTCTTACCGCCAGCTAAAAATAAACGCTCTACATATCATGGAGACTGAGTAATGAACATGTGCACAGGTTTTTGGCTCAAGCTACAGCAGGGATCCAGAGTTAATGTTGATAGCTGTGAGCTGGTATCGAGTCAAACCCTTCGACTAGCCACCTCGTGTGTTTGTGTTTACGATCATCTTCGTTTATTAGCACTGGTGGCTTACCCTTTTTGGACACTGCATGTCTCGGGCCAAATTGAGCAAAAGCTCGTGGGAAATTGGATCCACTAGGTTGAGGAAGGCAGCGTTCTTGTAGAGGATGTCGTTGAGAGATGTTCCTTCAAGACCCAGGTCCTGTCGAGAAAGAACAAGAGAGCGCGAGAGAGATTGTTAAGCATGTAGGATAACAAATGCGAGTAAAGGTCACTGATAAACCTCGATATTAAACAACTTAATCCTTTCCAATCTCCATTCGAGAGATTACACTAGGGGCTTTTTTGAATGACACAGAGAAAAAGTAATCTTTCCATCCTGTTTACTTCGCTATTGCTTCGGAAGGGAACTCTAAATAGCAGTCGAACTGTTTGTTGATCTATTGCTGGACTAGCGCTGCTAACCTTTAAGTCCAGCTTCTTTAAGTATGGCAGAGAAAGTGTGTGCAGACACAATGACAGCTTATTAGCCAGGCTTATCGTAGACAGCTAAAGTGTTTCCCCACCACTGAACAGCCAAGGCAAGCGAGTCTGATACGACCATCAGGGAAAGAAAAAAAAAATAAGTGGGAGAATCAAAAAAAAATTCCCTGAGGATGATGTTTCTTGTTTAATCCATCGGCTAGTGGAATTAGTAGAGACAAAGTTAACGTATAGAAGTGAATACAGAGGGCGAAACACATTTGATGCCTCCAGGCAAACTACACCACCCCGTGAATCGATTCAAAGACAAATCCCACAGAAATTGATGAAGAAACTGGCAGGAGGAGGAAAGCTGAGTCCAGGGAAGTGGAAACCTCCCTTTGGGTTGCACGCTGATATTCTGTTTCTCAGGGATTCCCAGACATCTGGAAGCTCCTCCAAGCCCTCTGTTTTCCATCTGCAAAGCTTTAGCATTTCTGTTCTGCAGTACTTTTTGAACACTGTAACCAAATGATTATGATTTCACTGTAATTTATAAAACGCTTTTGTATAAAGCATTTAGTGAAATTTCTTTGGGGGGAAAAGCTCTTTGTGCTATGTATCTTTACAAAATGACAAGAGCAGGTGGAAATAAAAAGCTAAAGTTAACCTTTGCTCAGTAAAAGATTGAGAGTTACTATATTCTCTGATGTTCTTTTTTTTTCAAATAAAATTATTTAATTTCCTGAAGGATGACGTCATTTAGGAACTAGCCTTTGTTAAAGAAAAAAGGGCAAAAGTCTTTGTTAGTTAAATAATAAAAGACAGAAAAACCTATACACCAATATTTGAAAATGTTTTGATCAGAGAAAGAAAAAAATGAAGAAACAAAAATAGCAAAATCCACTTAAACCAAAGCAGTGAAATTATTTAAAATTAATCCCTGTGCTTATTTAATTGTTATTTTAATATTATTTATACACTATTATAGTATTTTTTAACATTTTGAAATAGCTTTTTATTTTTATATTTTCAATTTTACTTTAAAGTTTTAGTACTTTTGTTACGTGCTTATGTAATTTTTATACGTTTTTGCTTTTGTAATATTTCTTTAAAACTTTTTATTTAACATTAACATTTTATTTTGTTTCAGCTTACTGTTTCAATTACTGAAAAACACTGTTCATATTTTCTGTTTTAGTTAAGAATAACAACACTGATTGTGATAAAAGCTAACTAACTCATTTGATTTCCATCTTTATCCAGCATATTAAGAGCAATAAATGACGGGGACATGAAAATATATGACCCAGACCCAGACAATATAGGCAAAGCAGTGTCATATCTGAGAGATTAAAGTCAAAGAGACATCATTTTAAATTCAATACAACCACAAAATCTTATAGCATTGACATCCACTGCATGTGCTCAGTAGAGCATGTAAGCAGAGTTGTTTCCTGCGTTTGCTCAATGAGAGTCAACGGCGGAAAATGAATTGCACTCATTAGGGCACAGGAAGAGCTACAGCAGAGATAAGGGATGTTGTTTTTGTCCTGCTCTCTTTGGTTCTTTTTTACTCTCTCTGGGGCAAAAGGAAGCACCCCACTTCATCATTTTGACCCCCAGTTGATTAACATCCAATCCATTTTTCCCGGAACAGAAAAGCTGCTTTTCGACGCTCAGAAATTAATTTCTTTCTGCAATCTACGGTCTTAAAAGGTTGCGAGGTTTGCCTTGACGACGTGACCCCTCTCTCCTCCAACAGGGTGCTAAGGGCTTCCAGAGCCAGGGTGAGTGAGATGACTCCATGTTTGGAAAGCTTTTCGACTGGCTGGGCATCCATGTGACAAAGTGCCATATCTAGACAGGGCTTCCTTTCCAAGTGAATCAGCTGTTTTAAATTAATCATTTGAATGAATGATTCAGTGAATCACTCACTCGTTAAAGGGGTCATATGATGCAATTTCAAGTTTTCCTTTCTCTTTGGAGTGTTACAAGCTGATTGTGCATAGATAAGATCCTTGAAGTTGCAAAGACTAAAGTCTCAAAACCAAAGAGATATTCTTTATCAAAGTTAAGACAAATGTCAGCTATAGTGGGAATCTTCCTTTATCAGACATGCAAACTGACTGACAAAAAGTTTGCCCTGCACTAATTTTTATATGAGAAATATGCAATCCAGGTACACTGGATAAATGTGACTGTGGCTGAAAAAATTACATTATGTTGTTTCTTTCATGTTTCATGTTTTGGAAAACTTTCAAAGTGAAATGTCCAGTTAATAGCGCTGAAAGTACATTTGGTTTTATCCAAAATGTGAATCTGTTTTAATTTGTAAGTTGTTATACATATCACACTAGTTGGGATATGAAAAGTCCGGTGAGATGCGCTACAAAATTAATGCTCTGTCAGGTTTGAAAATAACACACCACCAACACTAAACCCTAGCTTAAACCCAACCAATAGTGTTAAAAAAGCAAACATGAGATAAAAATGCATTTGATGAATTAACATGTCATTTTAACTTGCTTCCACAAGCTCTTTTTCACACTGACGTTTTACAACACAAATACAGTGCTGTACCAGGTGAGCTACTGAGCAGGTTTACTGTGTCAGAAAAGCCACACATATGGAGCTGGTTATGTGATATAACTGTCAAAACGTTTTCGTTTAAAAATCATGCACTATGGTAAAAGTGTTTTGAGGTCATAACATAGTATTGTGCAAGGAACTGCACAAAAGTAAGATGCTATTAAGCAATAATCTGCACCTGTTATAATAATTTGTGTGAAAAGGAATAAAAGTTGTTGGTGTTTTACTGCAACTAGTGTTCATTTCAGCTGGAAACTGCAGTCAGTTGTATGTATAGGTATGTTTTTGGAGTTTTGCGCATTTTTCTAAAGAATCTATGTTGGAAACATGACACGTTGATTCAATTTGTTATTCAAAAAAAGTCTTGAAAGAAAAGGACAAGCCATGCCCGTTCAAGTGGATCTATTATTGGAAAGTGCTCCTCTTGCTGCCCTTTCTGTCCAATTAAGTCCAAACAGAACTGTGGAATTTCAGCATGGAATGAAAACATCACTGATGGCTCTCTTGAGCAAAATAAAGGTCAGTGTCATCTTTCTGTACTTCTGACGTTTTGCAAACTAATTTAGGACGGGACTGAAGCATGAGCGCCCAAACTCCAGTCCTGGCCATGGGATGACAGCTGCCTGTGGTCTTATACAGGCGGCGGAGCTGTAGAATTGTCCAGCTAAGCCTCTTACCGCCAGCTAAAAATAAACGCTCTACATATCATGGAGACTGAGTAATGAACATGTGCACAGGTTTTTGGCTCAAGCTACAGCAGGGATCCAGAGTTAATGTTGATAGCTGTGAGCTGGTATCGAGTCAAACCCTTCGACTAGCCACCTCGTGTGTTTGTGTTTACGATCATCTTCGTTTATTAGCACTGGTGGCTTACCCTTTTTGGACACTGCATGTCTCGGGCCAAATTGAGCAAAAGCTCGTGGGAAATTGGATCCACTAGGTTGAGGAAGGCAGCGTTCTTGTAGAGGATGTCGTTGAGAGATGTTCCTTCAAGACCCAGGTCCTGTCGAGAAAGAACAAGAGAGAGCGAGAGAGATTGTTAAGCATGTAGGATAACAAATGCGAGTAAAGGTCACTGATAAACCTCGATATTAAACAACTTAATCCTTTCCAATCTCCATTCGAGAGATTACACTAGGGGCTTTTTTGAATGACATAGAGAAAAAGTCATCTTTCCATCCTGTTTACTTCGCTATTGCTTCGGAAGGGAACTCTAAATAGCAGTCGAACTGTTTGTTGATCTATTGCTGGACTAGCGCTGCTAACCTTTAAGTCCAGCTTCTTTAAGTATGGCAGAGAAAGTGTGTGCAGACACAATGACAGCTTATTAGCCAGGCTTATCGTAGACAGCTAAAGTGTTTCCCCACCACTGAACAGCCAAGGCAAGCGAGTCTGATACGACCATCAGGGAAAGAAAAAAAAAATAAGTGGGAGAATCAAAAAAAAATTCCCTGAGGATGATGTTTCTTGTTTAATCCATCGGCTAGTGGAATTAGTAGAGACAAAGTTAACGTATAGAAGTGAATACAGAGGGCGAAACACATTTGATGCCTCCAGGCAAACTACACCACCCCGTGAATCGATTCAAAGACAAATCCCACAGAAATTGATGAAGAAACTGGCAGGAGGAGGAAAGCTGAGTCCAGGGAAGTGGAAACCTCCCTTTGGGTTGCACGCTGATATTCTGTTTCTCAGGGATTCCCAGACATCTGGAAGCTCCTCCAAGCCCTCTGTTTTCCATCTGCAAAGCTTTAGCATTTCTGTTCTGCAGTACTTTTTGAACACTGTAACCAAATGATTATGATTTCACTGTAATTTATAAAACGCTTTTGTATAAAGCATTTAGTGAAATTTCTTTGGGGGGAAAAGCTCTTTGTGCTATGTATCTTTACAAAATGACAAGAGCAGGTGGAAATAAAAAGCTAAAGTTAACCTTTGCTCAGTAAAAGATTGAGAGTTACTATATTCTCTGATGTTCTTTTTTTTTCAAATAAAATTATTTAATTTCCTGAAGGATGACGTCATTTAGGAACTAGCCTTTGTTAAAGAAAAAAGGGCAAAAGTCTTTGTTAGTTAAATAATAAAAGACAGAAAAACCTATACACCAATATTTGAAAATGTTTTGATCAGAGAAAGAAAAAAATGAAGAAACAAAAATAGCAAAATCCACTTAAACCAAAGCAGTGAAATTATTTAAAATTAATCCCTGTGCTTATTTAATTGTTATTTTAATATTATTTATACACTATTATAGTATTTTTTAACATTTTGAAATAGCTTTTTATTTTTATATTTTCAATTTTACTTTAAAGTTTTAGTACTTTTGTTACGTGCTTATGTAATTTTTATACGTTTTTGCTTTTGTAATATTTCTTTAAAACTTTTTATTTAACATTAACATTTTATTTTGTTTCAGCTTACTGTTTCAATTACTGAAAAACACTGTTCATATTTTCTGTTTTAGTTAAGAATAACAACACTGATTGTGATAAAAGCTAACTAACTCATTTGATTTCCATCTTTATCCAGCATATTAAGAGCAATAAATGACGGGGACATGAAAATATATGACCCAGACCCAGACAATATAGGCAAAGCAGTGTCATATCTGAGAGATTAAAGTCAAAGAGACATCATTTTAAATTCAATACAACCACAAAATCTTATAGCATTGACATCCACTGCATGTGCTCAGTAGAGCATGTAAGCAGAGTTGTTTCCTGCGTTTGCTCAATGAGAGTCAACGGCGGAAAATGAATTGCACTCATTAGGGCACAGGAAGAGCTACAGCAGAGATAAGGGATGTTGTTTTTGTCCTCCTCTCTTTGGTTCATTCTCTCTCTCTGGGGCAAAAGGAAGCATCCTGCTCCATCATTTTGACCCCCAGTTGATTAACATCCAATCCATTTTTCCCAGAATTGAAAAACTGATTTTCAATGCACAGAAATTAATTTCTTTCAGCAATCTACAGCCTTAAAAGGTAGCGAGCTTTGCCTTAATGTGACCCCTCTCTCCTCCAACAGGGTGTTAAGAGCTTCCAGGGCAGGGGTGAGTGAGACGCCTCCATGTTTGGAAAGCTTTTCGACTGGCTGGGCATCCATGTGACAAAGTGCCATATCTAGACAGGGCTGAAAGTGATGACTGAAAATGCACTTAACCGTGACTAAATCCGAACCATCTAACAGATATTTAAATGACTAGAATAATTTGAACAAACTACCACCTACTAACAGTCAAGATTGATACTTTAAATCAAATGGATAAAAAAAAAAAACTCCCATGGACAAACACTGAAGAAGGGACTCGAGCCATGAGAATTCAGGGTAGCCTAAACAACCATAGGGATCTACAATAACATCGTAATTATTGTTTTAAATATATGCGAGCTGACATTGTCGATATCATTTGCAAAAAAACTAACAAAAACACGTTTGTTCAAAAGCATTCACTGCAAGATGAAACTTATTAGAATGCAGTTAAAATGTCCCTATAATCAGTGGTGCACATAAGTGGTACGCAGGTGCGCATGCGCGACCAAAATAAAAAATGCGCTGTGT